TCAGCACAGAGCCCCACACGGGGTTTGAACTCACGAACTGCGAGGTCATGACCTGAGCCAAAGCCAGAGGTTCAACTGACTGAGCCACCCAGGAGCCCCTCCTTTTCCGTTTTGTTCCACTAGTTCATTTCCTCCTTGATTTTTGTTGGAAGTTGGGACTGGCAAAGAATTGTATCTTCTGGATCCCGGTCTTTGTCTTGCTACTTTGTTTGTACAAGGCAGGCACACTGAAACTAAAGCCTTCTTCCCAACACACAGTCTGTGCCTTCAGCTCTTCCTGGCTGTGGGATAAAAGTTTTTTAAAAAGTTGAAACCAAAACAAATCCGGCAGTTATATCAAACTTTGAGAACAGGTAGAATTCTAAAAAACCTCTAAATGAGATTACACTGGTTTATACACTTACATATTACATTTGGAAATATTTTTCACAAAATATTTTCCCGGGCTTCAAAAATATAAGTCTTCCATTATGATAGCAGATTAATAGTGTTTTCAGTTGTTTTTTTCATTTTTTTTCTGGCTTTTCATTTCATACCTGAATGGATCCCTAGCAGCACAGATGATGGCATTTCAATGTTCTCACTGGAAAATTATGGCAGAAATGGTGGTAGCTTCCACTAAGACAGCCTTTCCTATGTGCCAGTTACCTTCCAAGCATTTTACACATATTAAACCATTCACTCTTCGTCTAGACCCCGGGGTGGGGCTACTGTGTATGATGCTTGTCTTAGAAATGAAGTGTGAGATACAGTCCCACAGTGGATGAAGGGCAGAGCCCAGATTTGGACCCAGGTATTTTGGCTGCGGGGTTCTGTCACAGGGGAAGGACCGTAATTTTTGGACTTAGAAGAGCGCCCTGCCCTGGTAGGAAGGGTAGGATGTTAGGTTCGCAGTCTGTAGGACTCAAGAGACAATATTTAAGAGATGAGTCCAGCTTTCAGCTTTTTACATGGGCAATAGTAGCACCCATATCGAGTGACTGTGCAGGATGCCCCATCTGCCACCGGGAACATAGAGGGACATTGACATTCACCATGGAGCACAGCCTAGGGGGCAGTCATTCTCGTGGTTGGAACTCCAGTTGGATATCAGCCACACACACGAATCTAAATGTCTTTGTGCCTACATATACTTAGACACATCTGAACGGTGGTTCCATCCTGGAGATTCAGAAATAGTTTGTTATTGAAAGTCACCAAACCACAGTGTGGGTAAACTGTACACAGACCTGAAAACTCCAGCTAAGTGTTTGTAATTGCGCAATCCATCCTCACAGGGTGCTGCTGAGGATGGTTTGGTCGCATGATCATGACAATGTCACAGTTGTGGTTTGATAGCCAGTGTCCTGCTTGTTCACATCTTTTCATCTTGGGCTTTCATTTCTGTCCCCTCCCAACTTACTCCAGTTTTCCTGAGAATTTCCCGGTCTTAGCACTGAAATTGTGGCTTCCCAGGGACCTCTCAGTGCTTGACAAACAGAGATAGAAAGAAACTCTACTTGCTTCTGACATATTTATATCCCTTTCTTTATCTCCTTTGCCCCCGACCCTCTGCCATAATAATACATATAATGCCTAGTTATTAGGGATAATAACCTATATAGGCCTAGTTATTAGGAGGTTTGGGGGCAAAGATTACAAAGTTTCTGAGAAAAAAAAATTTTAAGTGTTATATCTAAATTACACTGGCTATAAATTTTTATGCATACTTATCTATTTGGTGTATTTACCTCTAATGACAAAAGCAATAACTGGTAATCCATAAGTTTATTGATATCTCTCTGAAAAAGAAGCTGTGAAAAGAGCATTTAAATTTTTCATTTATTACAAACACAAATATACTTAGTAGCTTCTGGAACTACAAAGGTAACTGCAATTAAGGATGTGTGTATGTTTTTCCCAACCCAGTTAGGTGAATATTTCTACCCAAGTCAAACTGTTCTATATATTGGATGTAGAGTTCTATATCATGCACACACACATAGAAATTTTATACATTTTGTTGATATTTTTAAAGCTTATTTATTTTTGAGAGAGAGAGAGAGACAGAGAGAGTGGGAGGTGGGGAAGGGCAGAGAGAGAGGGAGAGAGAATCCCAGGCAGGCTCCGCACTGCCAGCAGGGAGCCCGATGTGGGGCTTGAACTCACAGACTGCAAAACCATGACTGGAGCCAAAACCAAGAGTCGGACGCTTAACCGACTGAGCTACCCAGGTGTCTTATATTTTGTTGATTTTTAAATTCTTTCTTATTCGTTTGGATTCTGGGTTCTTAATCGATTAAGATTAAGCTTGAATGAAGATAATGATCTTTTTTCTATTAGAACTAGTTATTTGGAACTAAAAACAGTATCGTGTGTAACAAAAATATTTATTAAGAGTTACTAGACGCTAGGCACTGTTTTAAGTGATTTTCATGTATTCATTAAATCCTCAAAGCCCGCTAAGATTGCTACTGTTGTTATATTGTTATCACCTGCATTTTGCCCTATGGATCAGAGAAACGGCATCACTCGTATAAAGTTAACTGAGCTAGTAGGTGTTGGAGGTGGTGTTCCAACCCAGCAGTCTGCGTGTAGTGCCCGTGTCAGTACCTGTTGCACAGACCCCACAATTATGGGACACACATCCGGTGATGAAAATGAATTCAGAAAGTAGAGCAGGGTTAGACTACATCAAATTTGAAAGGGGACTTGTGACACCTCACTGGATTGATTTCATTTTTCTTTTCCGGGCAGAGTGTGGCGGCCGACTGAAAGCGGAACCGAAACCCAGAGATCTGTACTCGCATGCTCAGTTTGGTGATAACAACTACCCGGGACAGGTCGACTGTGAATGGCTGGTAGTGTCAGAACGTGGCTTTCGCCTGGAGTTATCCTTCCCGATTTTCGAGGTGGAGGAAGAAGCTGACTGTGGCTATGACTATGTTGAGCTCTTTGATGGTCTCGATTCGACAGCGGTGGGGCTTGGTCGATTCTGTGGATCAGGGGTAAATACAGTAGCAGCAGGAAACCATAGCCAGATTAAAAAAAAAAAAAAAAAAGCTCAATGATTGGTGATTGTTATGTGTGCCATATACAAATTGACAGTATTTTTACAAAAAAAAAAAAAAGGTTACACTGTATTGTTATTGGCTTGACAAATTATACTATGCCTCTTCTCCCTCACCTCTTTCTCTATCTCTATTGAATTTTCTCAATAATCTCACGCAAGAGGGATGAATTTGGTAGCTCTAATTTGCTGTTAGTGTCCACATTCTAACTTTTTTATTCATGTTCTTCTTGTGTAATAAATATTTCAACCTTGAAGAATCTAAAGGCAATACATTTAAACACGCACCTTTGACAATTGGGTCAACTTCCTAAATTAAAGCATAAAGGCAAAGTAATATGCACACAACCCATGTTGACATTCCCCTCTCAAAGAATACACCTGCTGAGTGGTGGGGTCCACCAGTGCTGTGCGGACTCAGTCAGTGCTACCAGAATGCTGTTCCACTGCAGCGTGTCACTTGTGCATGGGACAGAATGCCAGCGTACAGGTCACAGAGCGTTGCCACAAGAAATAAGAACAAGGAAAGCTTAAGATAAATATCAAGTGGTCTTCTGAAGACTTATTTTGTTCAGAAGACATTAGGCCCCCCCGCCCCCGCTCTTTTTTTGTCTATCAGTGTCTATTGCTTAAATAATACTGAACATGAATACTCTTGAACTCCTGTCCAAATACCAGCTGCCGTGAAACAAAAAAGATTCTTGGTGTTTAGATTATTGAAACAGGAAGGGAGGGATGATTTGGATTCTGGAACTGTCTCTGCCTCAGAACACCTTCTGAAACAAATTTGATAGCTCTTTATGCTCTTTGAACCTCACTTTATTTATTTCTAAATTAAAGGAACTGGGCTTAAAATTTTGGGGGGAGAAAAAAAAATGACACACCAACTTGAAAACACACTTCTGTTCTAAGCCCAGCGACATCACTACCTATAACTATGATCTTGAGCATGTCGTTTGCTTCTCTGAAACTCACGTTTGCTCATCTGTAAAATGAAGAAGCCACACGTATTCACTATTCCAGGTTGTTGAGAGGATTAAGTCATATATACCCCACTCCCCCCCAATCCCAAATATGAATCTCAATGAAGAAGAAAATGACTCCTGTTTGTTTATTTGCCTGTATGTTTCTTTTTGTCTTTAGCCACCAGAAGAAATCTACTCCATTGGGGATGCGGTTTTAATTCATTTTCACACTGATGACACAATCAACAAGAAAGGATTTCATATAAGATACAAAAGTATTAGATATCCAGACACCATGCATACCAAAAAATAACACCAAAACCTCCATCAGAACATCAAGGAATGTGCAGAATGGAGAGAAGACGTATTTTTTTTTAAATGAAGATATTAGCACAAATGTTTTATATAACGAGTGTGAACAGAAGAAAACTGTAAGAGCAGAATTATCTCTGTACTACAAGAGAAGTTTTCACCTAACTCTGATCAGCATTACCAGGAGATTGGAGCTCCATGCTTGATGGTATAAATCGAAATAAAGCTGGCGGAAGGGCGTCATGTTACTTCAAGGAAGACTCCACAAGCTTTTGTTGACAGCTTGATGCAGATGCCTTGCAATTCAAGCAGTTCAGTTCAGGGTCTGTGACCTTGCAAAGGGTTCTTTTTGACAATTCTTCAACATTTGGGAGAAATAAAATGGTCTTGCAGGTCACATACAGAAAAACCCTCTTCCTGCGTCTGAGGATAATTGCTTTGGCTTTGTATCTTGGATGCAGATCCGCATAGGATGTTGGGAAATGGGAGTCTTTTGAGGGTGCTTTGTACTTTAATTGTGGGTGTGTCCGATGTTTGGAAACTGGAATACTTCAGCTTAGTCACTTTCCTTGCAGGCCAGATTCACCACTTTGAGACGCAAATGATCTTGTGACCACTTCATTTTACTGGCATTTTGACAAGTTGGAAATGTCAGTAGTGTCCATTATTGCAATTAATCTCTAGACATCATTTATTTAAATGCTGGAAAATGCCCATCTGATTGGTAAACTCAGTTCTTTCAGTGAAAGTGCTGCCTTTTCACACCAAACTTAAGAAGCGCTGTGATGTCTTAGAACTGCGTGAGAGAACTCCCAACAGGTGTGAACAGAATTCTTCTAGTGACTGCCTGGATGGTCCATTCTCAAGTCACCAGAGCTGCTATCGTCCTTTCTGTTGTTGTCAACCTGTCATAGCTGTTATTGCTGACGTTGTCACGGTTAATGTTGTATTTAAAAAAAAAAAAAGAAAGAAAGAAAGAAACGAAGTGTAAGTAGGCCATGTAGTCATTGAAAGATTTCTTTCTTTCTCTCTCTCTCTCATTCTCTCTCTCTCTCTCTTTCTTCTTGGGATTCAGTTGAAAAAGGATTTGTTTCCGAAAGACTTTCTATGGTGCTATTCCATAAACGTTTTTTTTTTTTTAAACAAAATTTTTGACCTTTGAGCCAACCACCTGTAGACTATGAATGTCTCCCTATGTCTGTCTGGTGGCATTTGAAGACTAAAGACTTGTCAAACGTATCAAGAGTATATCATTGCAAGGGCAGCACTTGTCCTGTGGAACAACTACTTATAATGCCTTAGAATTCTTGCACATGATCAAACAGATCCTCCTAGAGACACACATTTCAAAAGGTTGAACTTAATAATGTATGTGAATTAGCAACTCCATGAGGAAAACCCATTTCCGTGACTGAGAACATCGGGTATAAATACGGTGTCTTGCTTTTGTTGTAGAAAATGAATTTTCTGCTTTAAAGCCATGCGTGTTTTTAATATTGTGTGTGTATATGTGAGGTTGTCCGGGTGAGCGGAGCTATAAGAAGGTGAAACGTAGTGGGGGATGGAAAAGTTAGAATTTATGTGCCAAGTTCTACTTAGAATCCTGTCTGAAGTAGCACCTTTCTTAGGAGATTTCATGGACAATTAATAGGAACTTCTAATTATTATCAACCCCATTATAAAAATGGCTTTTTCCTTTACAGAAACTCTGTTTTGATATGTTTTGATGCTGACGTAGATTACTACGTGAAATACCTTAGTTTCTGTTACCTGTCCATGAACATTTGACATTCAATAAAATTGGGTATTTCTCTTCATTTTTACAAATTAAACTATACACACAGGTGTAGCTTGTTTCTTTTGTTTGTCATTGCCCTGAAAAATATTTTCTTGCATTTGAATTATACTATGTAAATACATTTTTAAAACCAATCTTCGGTTCTTATTGAACATTACTTTGGGAATGTGTCACTATTGCCTGCAATATAATGAGCTTTCTGGTGGAGCTGATTTATTCCAGTAACTTCTTCCATATTTTTTCACTAATCTTCAATTAGCCAAAATATATCAGGAGTGAGCAAAAAGGAGGAAAAAGTTATGAACACCTAACGTCTACACTATGCCTGGCCCGGTGCTAGGCACATGACACTAGCTTTTTTTTTTTTTTTTTTTTCTGTTTGAGGATTGTGGTGATGTTCTCATTTTGTAATTCAGGACTGGAGGCTCATAGAAGGTATGTAACATTCCCAGGGTCACAGTGTAAAGTGAGATGTTGAAAGCCAGCTTGTCTGATATAAAAATCTGTGCTTGTTCTACGAAATGTAGTCGAATCGATCTGGACATGTATAAATAGTGGACAGTGTTTTTATGATGAAACTTTTCCACGTAAAGTACACTTTAGGGGTGAATTACAGTAAAACTTTCAGGATAAATATATTGTTCTTTTCAGGAACAGCATGACAATTCAAATATCAGCTGTAGATATCTTTAAGAACCACAATTAGTGCTAGAAATTAAAGAAACAAAACCTGCTCTATAGCTCAGAGTTAGTAACCATGGACTTTTGTTAAAGTAAATAAACTATTTTATCTGGCGTGATAGGGGAAATGTAGTGTTCTACATTAAGAAATATTTTGGGTATTACCATTGACATCATATTAGGCCACAACGAGCTACATTCAATAAAACTGAGAAGTGAAAGTGAAAAGGTATTTGGAGATGTCACAACTTTAAGTCTTCAATGTGAACATTAATTTTTAACGTACCTTATGTCAGATATCAATTCGTTGCATATTATTTTTATATTAATTCAGTTTGGGCTTAAATATGTTGTTAATTGCAAGTACAAACAGCTTTGTTGTCATTTTGTTAATTATTGTTAGCTACTGTTTCAAGCGTTTTATTAAATTAATTTTGTAAATTATTTTCAACCCCTACATCAGTATATTGGTTGTGCTCTCTATTTGCCAAAGTTCTAACTCCTATACAATCCTCACTGGCTATCCACAGAAAAAAACTGCTCCTACTTCCTATGATTTTATTAAATTATTTTTCAAGTCAACTTGAATATTAATCTAGTCTATTTATGAGGTCATGACTTAGCATAATTTCACAAAACAACATTTTTTGAAAGTATGCGAGAACAGACAATAATATTTCCAAAGTCTCCAAATGTCCCCTTCTTGTATTGGCTGGCTTTTTGCTATCCAGGCCTAATTTTAATATATCACAGTATCAGATTCAAATGCTGTCCAGTTTTGTTTTTAGAGTTCTTAGTCTCTCATATTTGGTTTCTATAATTACTATATATTTTCAGGGTAAGCCTCAAATACTAAATTTTGTTCTCCCATAGAGAAAATTTCTAAAAGCATCTAATGACTAATTATTATTCTTCAGAAGTAAATGTAAACATCTTATTCAATGTTACTTTGAATTCAAGTAAATGTTACTTGAATGTTACTCAAGCTCATTCAAGTAAATGTTACTTTTTAAATTTTTTTTTTTTTAACGTTTATTTATTTTTTTGGGACAGAGAGAGACAGAGCATGAACGGGGGAGGGGCAGAGAGAGAGGGAGACACAGAATCAGAAACAGGCTCCAGGCTCTGAGCCATCAGCCCAGAGCCCGACGCGGGGCTCGAACTCACAGACCGCAAGATCGTGACCTGGCTGAAGTCGGACGCTTAACCGACTGCGCCACCCAGGCGCCCCGACTTTTTAAAAGTAAACTGTAGCCATGTGTGACATTTAAACCTAACTTAGGGCAGTTATCAAAATGTTTGGAAATTGTGTTTAGTGACAATGGGAATGAAACTTGCTTTTTGGAAAACCTTTAATACCACTTGTGAAATCTGTACGGGAGGAAGAAAGCAGGAACAATAATTACCTCGTAAAGATTTATAACTTGAAGGAATACCTTCTATTTAATAAGAAAAGTTAGGTAAAATGAGCATATCAAA